ACGGGGGTCCAGTGCGTTCGTTCCCACTTTTGCACACAGGAAAGAACATAGTTGAAGCAACCGAGAACAGCAATAGCAACCGTAACAGGATAGCCAATCAACAACCAGCCAACAACAGCAACAAACAGTCAACAAACAGTACCGTCTCACGTTCACATGCCATATACACAGCGGGATACAATTCAGTTTGACCACACAAGTAATAGCAACGGAAAAAGTTTTGACAGTACCGCCGCTATCGTTTATGACGATCCATCATCCAACTCTTTTTATTTTCATTCTTACCGGTGAAACAACCACTCGTTTACAGGCTTCGTTAGGGAAGAAGAAAAAAAAAAAGAAACAAAAAAGATAAAAAAATGTTTCAACCATATAGTTCTCTGGGTGTGCTCGTCTGTAAATTATACGCGTGTATTTAGGTAAAAAAAAAAAGTAAATAAATAAAAATAAAATAAAATAAAATAAAGTCGATCGAAAAAGGGAAAAGCAGGAAAGTCACGAGGGAAACGAAGATGAAGAAGAGGAGGAAGGAGAGGAAGAAGTAGAAGAAGAGAAAGAAGAGGGAGAAGAAAAGAAGATGGAAACTTTGTAGCGAGTAAATTAATGCAATAACGTCTTTTTGAAAGTATATTATCGATCGATCATAAGGATCCTCCTGATGCCCTTTTCAAATTCTATTCGAACCGGAGATAAAGGGACGTTTGAAGGTGGTTTCAACGTTTTTCCCCCGCAGAGTAACAGAGAATGAAAAAAAGTACTAGTCCGTAATAATCAGCCATATAACGAGGTATACGTATTAAACATTTACGCATCTTTCGTTCCTAAATGTTCGATCTGCTTGGCCGCTGGTGATTGTATCGATATATTTATATTTGGTACGCGTCCCGTCTTCCCCGCTCGATCCCTGGGAAATATGCAATCGAATTGCTGCTTCGAGAGAGAAAGAGAGAGAGAGAGAGAGAGAGAGAGAGAGAGAGAGAGAGACAGGTTCAATTCTTCCTTTAACTAGAATCAAAAGAAACGAACGAAAAGAATGCAGGAGCTTCGCTTCTAGTTAAAGCAAACGATTGAATGAACAGCCATTTCAGGAAGAGTTTCGAACAATCGTTTTTTAATTCTCGCAGAGGAAATCGATAGACTGCTAGACGGATGGTCGCCAATGATTTGTGGGGGCGCCCTCGATTTTCGTATTCCGCTTTCATTCGATTCACGATCAATGATGAGTGATATTCAAGAACTCCGGTAATTAATAAATTTCGTGGTAATAAGTACCAGCTAAGTATTACTTATATACATATATACATACGCATAAATGTTACATATACGCGTGCGTGTGCGTAACACACGGCACGAACGAAACAGGCGGCGCGCGCTCGACAGTGATGCCAATTCGATTGCAAATTCACCGAAACGAAAGGGACGTTGATAAATACGAGCGTGGCGAATCATCAGGTGACTCGTCGTTGTTCGGCGAATATTAACTTCACGTCGATTGTGTGCACGATTCGGGTCGTGAATTGAACGAAGCACACGCGCGCGTTTTCGAACGAAGACGGGACGCGGAACGACCCAGGGACAGGTTTCCAATTTCCACAGACGAATCTTCGTATTTAACGCATCCAGAGGAATGGTTCGTTAGTAAAAAAAAAAAAAAAAACCGCAAAAAAAAAAAAAATGGAGGGAGAAGAGGAAGGAGAAAGGGAAGAGGAAGAGTAAACTAAATAAAAAAGTAAATTATAATACCACATTTTGCTGGAGGAAAGCTTAAAATATCGACCATCCACAAAGGATAAAACTATCTCATGTATTCCCCGGTTAATCGATATAGTGATAATAGCGTTTACTTTTGAATGTGTTCCGCTTCAAGTGAAAGGGCTCTCTCTTTCTTTCAGTCTAATCTAAAGTAAACTGGAGGGCAGGATAGTCGGTTTTCATCATAAAGAAAAAAAGAAAAAAAGAAAAAAAACACGTATATAATAAAACGTATGCGAAAAAAAAATAAATAAATAAATACTGCAGAAATAACGCGCGCGACCGATCGACCATTGTTCTCTCTCGACGATTTTTCCTTCCTTGCCGTTAATAAACGATACTGTAGGCGAAACTACTAAACCCATCCCAAAAACAAGTAATAGTACGACACACAATTTCTTAAATATCTCTCAGCTCGAGTATAATTAAAAAAAAAAAAGAGAAAAAAAAGTATCACACATGTTACGTACATACATACATACATACATACATATATACATACATACAGAGACACACGTTCATTGTGCGTTGAAGGAACGTAAAGGAACAAAAAAAAAAAAAAAAAAAGAGATGACACGTACATACATTATAATACACCTACATACATCGTTCATGCATACAGGTACACATTGTACTTCGATACCCCGCCGTTGTAATGGGCTAATTCAGTACGATTAATTATTAAACCACGAGATCCTTGCAAGGAGCGTAGCTAGGAGCGCGAAAGGGTAGCGAGTGTACATAATTAAGGCGACACCTAGGGACTGCAATATCGTAAGAAAAAAAAAAAAATAATAAAAAATGGTACTTTTAATAATCGCGATAGCTATGTAATAGCTGTACGCACGACACGAACGACACAAGACGACGACAGACGATCTGATGGACGAACTACATACGAACTTGCACGGTTATAAACGATAAACGACGAGAAAATTAAAGAGAAACGTTGGAGTTTGGAGACGGTGAGAGAAAAAGTGAAAAACTAAATTTGTAAGGGTAAACGCGTACATTTTAAGGTATTTTACTCTCTAGGATACGATTAAAGATACGTGCAAAGTGATCTGTTCCTAAACGAAGCACACAAATGATGGAGGCAATAGAAGATAACAGGAAACCGAATAAAAAGAAAAAAAAAAAAGGAGAGAGAAAGACGCGAGATGGAAAAGAGACAGGGAAGTGTATTATACGAAGAAGAAAATGACGGAATGGTATGCGGTTAAGGGTGGAGGTTCAAGGGGGATAATTCAAAATTCAAAATTTTGATTATAGGTTAGAGAGAAGGAGGGGGGGGGGGGGTGAAGTTGAGGTGGAAAAAAAAAAGAGAGAAAAGAATGAAAACGTTTGTACAGAGATATTCCGGTTATTAAATTTTGTTATACGAGGAAAAAAAAAATACTAACGGGGGAGAATGGCGCGGTGGATGTTGACGAGAGATTAAATAAAAAAAAAAAAAAAACGTTACGAACGAGAGAGTGAGGGAGAGTGTGAACGAGAGAGATATTGCTGACGAGAGAGAGAAAAGAAATTTACGAGTCATGTGTATTTTCTTCGTGAAAAAAAAAAAAAATTGATATTCAATAGGTCATTAACATGAGTATTAAAGAAAAAAAAAAAAAAAAACGTGAACTGTATTCGTGAGTGTCATATTTCTAAGGAAGATAGATCCACGGGCGAATGTTTTATAGCAGTTTCCGGTCGAATTTTCACAGCGTCGAGTTGTATCCAGGGATGAAAAAGCACGCTTCGCCTACGCTTGACGAATAAAATACACACGGGATCTCCGTGTTTTCGGGACAAAAGAGCAAATAGAGTATAATTTAAAGAACAAAAACAAAACGAACGAGGAAAAAGCAAAATAAAGAAAAACGGTGAAAAATAAAAAAAAAAAAATAAATCGAGGAACGTAAGAAACAAGACGACAGTCAAACCAGAAACAAAAGAAGAAAAATTCGTGGCACGCAATAAAAAGAGGAAACTGCTCTTGAAACATTGCCCAGCGAAACCAAAGTTCCTACTACGTTTTATAAAGTATATAACTGAACTGCAAAACTTGAATTGTACATAAACGAGGGTTAAGCTAGCACACGATCCACAATATACAATCAGCAATCGAACGACGCTATGATGAGACGAGGGAAGGCAGGGTCAATTGATTCCACGTCGCGATTCGTTTCTTATTTATTAACGATGAAATTCAAACAAATTCGAGAGGATCCACACGTTACGGTCCACGGCGATATACATCGAGCGGCAAATAATCTTGTAATATACCATCGTCTTTTGCAATTTAAAAGAGACGGGGGACAATTGATCGTGACAGCACAATAAATGATGAGCATAAAATGGAACACACTACGAGAGAGGAAAACGCGTTGATACATACATACGTACATATACACGTACATATACACATACACGCGTACGTACATGAATACCGAAGAGGCAGAAACAAATTACACATGCATACGAATTTAACACACACATACAGTTCCACACAGATTGCAGACAGATACATTTATACAGAGACACGAGACACACCACGCGTACAGTGAAAAAAGGAAATTAAGCACATTAAGTATACAATTAAATTAAGCAGCCGTAGCTTTAGCTTGAATGTTAGCACCTAGACACACGATGTAACATTAAACTACGTATTTAAAGAGACAAGAAAAGAAAAAGGAAAAAAAAAAAGATGTCACGAAGAGGAGAGACGGAGAGAAAGAAATCTTTAGCGGTTAAGCGAACTATCTGTGTAAAATCTAGTAGGTGTCCACAAGAATAAAATAAAAACATATATTATGGTACAAATCACACAAAAGATCGTACCTTCAAGGTCCTGACTGCGCCTCCAACCGAACTCTTTCTTGTACATATAATTTTTTATATGCCGATCTGATTTGTGTATGATTTCTATATATACGATATGTATACCGCAATTATAATATTATTCGCACCGAATAATCCTATTGTCGAGCGTTTTCAAAAATAATCCGAAGAATTATGTCGCTAGTAAAATCAGCTCTTTTTCTTTCTTCTTTAATTCACCGCCCTCTCTTTAACTATTGACAACGTTTTTACAAATACCAGCGAAACACTTTTGACTTTCTGTTCACACCACGAGGATGCATTTATGATTTATATCTAAGAACTGTTGTATTCGACTTAATAACAAAAGAAAAAAAAAAAAGAAAAAAAGAAAACGGAATGAGTTTCATACAGAGTAACGTCTAACGAGAGATCCATACTTTCGATCGGAAAGACTTCGTCGATTTTATTTTCCATCGATTCACAGTTTAGTCGTGTCGTTCGCTTCTCCATTTGTCACCAACTCGAAGTCCGGTTTCAATTCTGTAACCGATCTGCCAACTTTCGCAGTCCATTCTATTATACCATAGCCGATCATGCCGAGACAGAGGATTCCTGCCAGGCAGTAGAGCTTCGTTTGCGTGCAGAGGTAAGGACTGTACGCGTACGTGATCACAGAACCAGTGGACTCCCACAGTCGAAAGTTCGAGAAGGCAGCTTCTTCCTTACCTGGGAATAGTAATCCCGACAGAGCTGAAAATTACCACGGAATTTTTATTTTAATTGACCGAAGGCTAGACGATAGTCTCTACGATCTAGCAATCGCGTTCCATTTTCTAGATGTCGCATGAAATTCGAAAACACGAATTTTGAAGAGGAATTCTGATTCCCTACAGCTGATAAAGTAGAGGAACGTCGGTACATTACCGGTGAATGACCAGTAGGAAATCTACTCTAACAACAACTGATGCCACGTGTATGAAGGAATTCTTTTTGCCGACAGAGGATAATAACAAAAGATACATTCTCAAGGAAACTTCAATTTGATCATTCAACGCTTACCGTTTACTTGTACCAGCCACATGGCGTCGCAGAGACCCCATAGTCCAGACATCAGAAAGAATATTTGACTTTGTTCAGGAGTCGGCTTCCAGCGTAGCAAGAAAATTAAAATTCCCATGTGAACGCAAAACGCGAATATCATTACGGCTCTTCGTCCTGTTAGTTTCATAATAGATCCCGTGCCGAGGGCAGCTATAGCATTCGTGACGCCGAAGCAGATCATCACGTAGCCGATGTTGCTGATTCCCCACGCGCAGGAGACAAACGACTGAAAAAATATTGACGAGAAGCACGTCGAGAAATTTTTCGATCGAAGTTTTCGATTGAAAACACTTACGGCGTTGTAATCGGCGAATAGGAATGCTTGTTCAGCCCCGATGAACATTATAATCGGCAAGATAAGGATCTGATTCTTCTCCTTCAGTAGTTTCAACGTCACAGCCAGCAACTTGAGGCCTGACTGGCCTGTCGCTGATCCCGATCTACCTCTGTTGTACCTGCAAGTAGCGCAACGATGAAACTTTACTTTCTAATTAAATAATCGATAGACGTTCAAATCGATCGATTCAGATAGAAAATTATTTCAGGATATTTGGTGAATCGGTGCTTAAAATAGCGGATAGAATAGGCGATATTTGAATTTCCCTTTGCTTTTGATTCACTTTGCTGTGAGAAATCGTCGCGTAATGCGTAATCACGTCGCACTCGTATCGATAATGATCCGCCTTCACTGTGAAAAATCCGAGTTTGAATCTCGACTGGGCGCCCCTCGCGCCACGGCGTTTCGATTAATCGTTGGAGTTAGCCGTGGTAATTTTTCAGAACGGAAACAATATTGCGCTTCTGCCGCAGCTTAATGCACCATCTATTCCGGAATCACGAATACGTCTAGATAGACGGACGATTTATGACAAGCCGAACGATACGTTTCGTTCCGGTCACAAAGTCGACCGGTGAACATATGTTGATCCTTGTATCTTTTAACTGATGATGACGGCGAACGTGTATGCAGAGATAGATTATGCATTTCGCTTTGACAAATAAAACGAAACACGCGTACGTGTTCGACGGCACTGAAATTTCATATCCTATCCGGAGTCTCGGTTTTCAACGTCAATTCGATGAAACTAATGTCCCATTTGTGCTCGGATAATTTGCGACTGTTATTTACAATCGAATACAATAACCTTGATCGGTCGAGATCGTTTTAATCAAACTTCGAGATTATAAATTTATCACATCCCGTGTACCATATATTTAGAAGTTTCGAAACGATCGAAGGAAATACGGGAAACAGTTTTTCAAATTTCGACATTTAGACATTCAAATCGCCAGAAATTGGAATCTCTGGGGGCTTTGGTGTTTCAGGGATTTAGATAACAGCCAATTAGTATTGCGTTTGCGCTAGAGTAAAGCTGGCGGGAGTCATGTAACGGATAACAAGCGAGTACAATAACTGTTACCTCGTGAGCGAGTCGACTCCAAACGCGACAATTAACGAGGCCACTATCATACAGCTCAAGTAGATGCCGGAAATTAGGTGAATCCTTTCCTCTGGAGGTCGTTCCAAATTCGGGCTCTCATCCGTGTCAGAAGTCGCGCCGCAGAATTTCGCACCGCACGTCTCCGCCACGATGCTGCTGTTCAGTGTTATATTCGTTGGCACCGTGTCGATTCCATACGAAAGAACTACGAGAATAATGCAAAAAGAAAAAAAAATACTCTGCGTGTCATCGTTGTCATTGTTTAACCCTTTGCCGTCCCTAACGCTCCAGAACGATCGATATTTAAACGTGCCTGGCTCTAAAACGTTCCTCCAACACGCGCTGTAACTCAATGCGTTGAAAGACGTATAACAATATCAGCAGAGGACCAGACTGAGTCATAAGTATGGAGACTGTGTTCTGCTTAGACAAACATTACTGCACGTTTTGCTTATTGTTTATTCCATAAATAATAGCTCCGACATCGAAAATTTAAATACTCTGCTTAAAAACGCGATTATTTCGTGATGTGGTATTTAAAACGTGAGCGGCAAAGGGTTAACGTTAAAGCGTTAATTGTTGCTGAATTTCGTTGATCGTGTTCGTAAGTCGTGCATTTTTCATTTCGAACAGTTGAATCAATCTTGAATGAATCCGTGCAATTCACGCTTGAAAGGATCAACGTAGAATCGATATTGCAAAATTGCGTCCTCCAGGGGGTTTCAACGATCGTTATTACTTTCGAAAACATTCGAAGCTCGAGCGTCCTTTTTCACAATCCGCGGTAACTATGCTCGTGAACGTGCAAGTCCCCGGAGGACGTGCGGAAATCGATTGGTTCCACCGATTGCCCGAATCCCTCGATCAGAGCGTTCCCTCGAAATTTCGCTAGACAATTCGTAGTCGTTTCGCGGTTACGTCGGAATCACGATTCTCGCGCAGCTTTTTCACAAACAGGAAGAATTTCAGCGGCAGCTCGTTCCCTTCTCCGCTTTGCATGCTTATCGACTCTATTTCATTGCACGAGATAAATTCTTCGATTCTTCCTAACGAGGACTATCCTTTTTTCGGAATTTCGAAAATCGCGCGACGATTTTCATTGCGAAAATCTTGACGTTTCGCTTGCAAATTTAAAGTTTTTCGCTTACAAATTTCACGCGGTCGTAAATTACGAAAGCTATTCCTGCCAATGTTGGGACTTGACTTTTCGCCAGTCTCGTTTGTAGTTTCTTTATTTCCCCAGCTTCGTAATGTAGTAGCGTTTCCCCCCGGAATTTCGCGTGTCGAAAGAACGAAACTTATCTTCGCAGTTACAAGCTGAAAGGTTCACGGGACTCGACTCGAGGCAATATACGTATGAGAAAGGAACTCGCAGCTTCGATCATTTACCTGTTGGTTTTATCAACCGCCGGTGATATGAGAGATGAAGTAATAAAATTCTCGACGTGTTGTATCTGTTCAAATAAGATTATCGAATATCGACTCGTGGTCGCGCCGTGATATGTAATGACCGGTATTCAAATAATGTTCGATTTATTTGAAGACCTTATTTGCTGTATGATATTTGCAGGAGGCTGTTTATGCGCTACGTCGACAATTTTATGGAGCTTTTATCGGTCGATCAAATTTTTACCAATCCCTACGCGTCTGATCAGTCAATTTCTGTTTCAGTAGCCTCGTTCTATTTTCTTTTAATTTGAGCACGAGAATTAAATTTTCGAGCAGAATTAAAAACTTTCCACATTATGACATGTTTTGTGCGAAAGAACAGTCTGCAGAAGGAATTTCTTCTGTTGAGGTTGCTCGGCGAGTTGTGTGTCCGACCCGAGTGGGAAAGCAACACAGAATCACAAAAAGGAACGTAATTCTCCAGTAAAAATTGCCACGCCTGGACTTCACATGAGTTTCGTGCTTTGAAATATTTTAAAACGCGTGTCACCCGAATAAAATTACGCGACAACATTCGTTTTTTTTCATTTTTAAGTTTTATTCATCGCGTTTATCATATAATTTGTTAATAACACGATAGCCCCGGGGAGGGAGAGGATTTCAAAGTCAACGTCACGTGAAAGTCACATGTTCATTTCGCTAGAAAAATAATCATCCCTAGAAACATCCGTGCGAAACTGAACGAAGAACGAATGAAAAGACAATCAATCACGTACGAAAACAGTGTTCGATTGTCCGGAGACAATGACAAATTTTCGCGTAAGCTCGCGCGGATTAATTCGCGCCCGTCCTCTGCGAAACACAGGCTCGAAATAATCCCCGGATCAGCGGGCTGCGCTTCGAATCGCCTTTAAATAAAGCAAGTTTTATCATAAACTCTCGAAACACGCAGGAATTATACGACGCAGATATTATTCCAGCGATTATTGTCCCAGGGGGGACAAGGAAAGTGGTGAGATTAAAAGGCTTAAAGTTATTTTTAAAGACTGATGAATTGAAAAATAAGCTCGGTTAATTAAACGATCCTTGCGTGAAACCGCAAGTCCGATCCCTTTTTCTCTTTCTTTCACTCTTTCGCATGGAATCTCTCGTTTTTTATCTTATAAAGTTATGAAAATGGGGAGCAAAGTTCCACTTTGAATTCGAAGCGGACAGTTTTCCACGGTTTCCTGTTACAGCCGGCTAAATTGCGATGAAAGTTTCCTTTATTTTTTCGCGTGTAACGGATGTTCGAAGGGTGAACGTGCGCGCACCGGTGATGGCCAGCTGGAGAGTTGACAAGGGTGAAAAGAAAAAAAAAAAAAAAAAGAAGAGAATTACGGCTGGCTTTATGTCAAAGCGTTTCCGTGGCTAACCAACGGGGGGAGGTTAGAGTCGCTAATGACTTCCCGTAAGTGGAATAGAACCTTTTCTACGAACGCCCTTCGTTTCAATTAAAACCATTCCAGAGTTTGCATCGTGCGAGTACAGATTTACGCGAAACCTCGTTGCAAGTTGCTCCCAATGTTTTGGGGAGAAACAATAAGTATTTTTAAAAATTACTGAATATTAAAATATTTTATCATTCTAAATTAATGGTGGATTCTATTGATCTAAGGGAATTTTATCATCTACCATTCTACGATTTATGTCGTCTACCATTTTGGCTCTGTGGATTCAGACGAACGTCTCCGTAAAATTTTGCAAACACGAGCGCGCCGAGGTCCAACGAATTTCTCAATTCCGGGAAGCGGAGTGCTTTTTCGCGAAGCTGTTTAAAATTTCCCAACATTTCCAACGCTATCGCTGTCTATTTCAAAACGGAAGCGCTCTTGTTTCATCTCTCTCGATCAGAATGCAGGGGCTTGACGCGTGGAAGCGTGAATTCAGATCCTGTATCCAGCCAAGAAACATCACGGACGAGATGGTGCACAATAGACGCGATATCCGATGCATTTCTGTGTCATACGCTCGGGGGGCTCCAAAGCCCCCTTTACCACTTTCGTGTTACGTTCTGCCGTACCAATTTAGGCAGGTTTTGCACCGTGGCTGACGAATAAAATTCGACAAATACCGGACACCGCATTCACGTCGAGAATTGCTTATCGAATTGAACGTTAATTGCAAATATCTCAACTTTTCGATCTTTGATTGCAGTATAATTAACATTGCAAGTCCTCAATTTGATCTTTGATTGCAGTATAATTAACATTCTAAATAAATTGGCATTTACTATTTGTCGACAGAGTTGTGAGTTGGAAATTAAATAGCACATAAGTGTAAATTTCAGCCAGTAAAATATCTTCACCGTCGTGGTAAATTTGTAACAGATCTACAAATGATTAGATTACTGATTTTTATAATGGAAAAATCAGTTTTCTCAGTTGTGTTGACAAAGACCTTTACACGCGAAAAATCCAATTAATATTGAGAAGTGGCAATCAAATTTTTAAACTGAATTTCCAACTAACATTTCTTGAATATCCCAATTGTTTAAACATTGCCTGACGCTTCTAATAATTTATTTGTAACAATTGAACAATTAATTCTCTTCTATAACATTTCTACGGAATTTTAATCAACTGTTTTCTTTGAACTTTTAATTAGAAAAATAATTTTGTCTGCCAATTTGTTAATGTCTTAAATTAGTCATTAGACTGATCAAACTATTGTGCCCTATTTTACGGCATGTAGTTCTGTCTGTCTGACAAATATATTTAAATTCGGTAATCTCGAAGTATTACTATCTGTAGAGCTCCAACTAAATTTCGATTTCTTCGAATATTGTTATTTGCGAAACTTGATGTACTATGCAACCTGGACCTACAGTCCAGTCTAGACTAGATCTATGTAAATTTCATTCCACGATCTGGTGACTGGACTGTAAAAACAGAGTTAGTTATGAAATAATATGACTGTAAGACGGGGTGTGCGCGTGACGTTTCACGTCCAGTTTCAGTTAATCTCTGTGAGTACATTTTCAGCGGGACGACGTCATATGGGCGATTATTTAACTTGAAATTTTGCTTTTCGTCCAGAGAACGTGTCGTCAGGTGTCACGTCCGTGGTCGTACGCACCTGCAGACGATATTAAATTCCCCCAGACCTGCGCCATCTGGTAAAACATGAAAAACAGGCCGAAGAATCTCGTGACGAGGACGTCCTGGGCCAAGTCCGACAGCGTGGCATACGTTTCAGCGACCACCGTTAAGTAAGTGCACTTGGCACACCAGAGCGGCCCAGCGCCGATGCCAACCATCAGGCCAGCCGGTATCATGGTGTAGAATTTTGGGTAGAACTGCGCGGCCATGAACGGCACGTACGTCAGGATGGATAACGCTATGGTCCATTTACAGCCCAGCCAGCTGTAACGAGAATAGGAAACAGGGATAAGATGGTTTCTACGTTTGTCTACGTTTGCTCTTAACCTCTACCACCCAGCCCCGAGTGGCAGCAAGTGTTCTTTGTTACGTTTGCCCGTTTCGTAAGCAAAGTGTTCGAGCGCTGGGAGCTTCAGTTCAGTTCAGTTCAGTTCAGCTGCGCGAGTAGAATCTTTAGCTTGGAAGTTTCAGCGCTTGTTACACGTAGAGAATTGCGTTTGTCCGTGCTCGCGCGTTCATCGGCGCGGAAAATTTATCGCGACTGAAATTAACCGGAATTTCTGCGTACGTTAATTTCAATTAACTCTCCCGCTTCAAAGTTAAATAACGAAGCTGCTGTTACTTCGGCAGGAATGATATTAATTCGCGAAAGGAGTACAAAGCGAATCTCTGTTACACGAGCCGCTCGGGTATGAATTGTTCTGCCGTGGGAATTTGCTGCGTTACAAATACACGAAGTACGTTTAAAAATTTGTAAGGACGACGAGTGCTACAATGAGAAAATGTCAAGAGGTATTCCGATGCACCAGCCAGATTACCGAAAGCGATGGACGGCATCGAGGGTGGAAATTTCACGAACGATAAAACTCGATGATAAAGTTTATCACTTCCGGTGGCCATAACCGAGGATCAGTTTCGCGAAGAAAACGGACGACTTCTCGTAAACCTCGTATAATCGACGACGACTCGAGTTTCTCGAATTCCTGCCAGAACCTTTAAAATCATGGCAACACGGGTTCACCCTTCTCATAGAGGAAAAGGAGAAAATAGAAACCAGCTGTCCTCCAGTTTACGAGTTAGCGACCCGCCCTCGATCTTACTTTACACCCCCGTTTCGTTTGTTCGAGCTTGCAGACGCGACATAATGCGACACGTCGCGAAACAAACAAAGGACGAACGGCTCTTCAGCCTTCAAACTCTTGACCCTTTTTAAAAGTAAACGAGTCACACGCGCTCGTGAAAAAACGGGGCGGGGGGGGGGGGGGGGGGAACTTTGTTGAAAATCGCCGCGCGTCTTTTAAATAAGACGCAGCGTATCAAATAGAAACGCGAGTAAACGTGTTTCTCGAGCGTGATGGAGAACCTTTGCATGCGGAACGAAAATTCGGATGAAAATTCAGAGGAAGATTGCTCGAAGACACGAAAATTGAAAGTTTCTCGAAAAGAGATGTGGGAAATTGTTTAGAAGCTTGAGAAATTATTAAGATTATTATTTTTTCATTTTTATGTAAGCTTAGGTCTTTGTAAGAAAATTATTAAGATCCTCGTTTCTTCGTTATTTTACTCAAAATCAATGATTTTTAATAGGCTAGAGATTAAATTTCATTTAAACACATCATCAAAGTGCAGATATTTATTTTAACATAAAAAGAATTGGATTCTAGACAAAATGTTTTACAACTGAGAAATTGCTGGAGACTTTGCAAGAAACTTATTAAAATTATGTCGTTTCTTCGTTATCTTAGTCAAAAGTAATGGTTTTTAATAGCCTCGAGATTAGATTTCATTTAAACACGTCAAAGTTCAGATATTTATTTTAATATAAAAAGAACCGGACTCTAGGCAAAATTTTTTACAACTGAGAAATTGCTGGGGACTTTGCAAGAAAATTATTAAAATTATGTCGTTTCTTCGTTATTTTATTCAAAAGCAATGATTTTCAATAGCCTCGAGATTAAATTTCATTTAAACACATCAAAGTGCAGATATTTATTTTAACATAAAAAGAACTGGACTCTAGGCAAAATTTTTTACAATTGAAAAATTGCTGGGGACTTTGCAAGAAAATTATTAAGATTGTCGTTTCTTCGTTATTTTATTCAAAAGCAATGAGTTTCAATAG